ATATATATATATATATATATATATATATATATATATATATATATATATATATGTATATATATATGTATATCCTTTGTTTTATATTTTCTTTTGTCTCCTTTATATTATAATTCTGTCTCCTGTATATTACCTTTCTGTCTCCTTTGTTTTATATTTTTTTTGTTTCTTATATTTTATATATCTGTCTCTTCTATATAATATAGATCTGTCTCCTCTATATTACCTTTATCTATATTTTATATTATATTAAATAATATAATATAATATATTTTTGTCTCCTTTTTGTCTCTGTTGCTGCAGGGGTGTTTTCTGTTGATAGTATGGAGGTGGAGGCCCCCGCCCCTTTGTTTTATGATTACAGAATTTATAAACCCCACATTCAGGCCTACGCTGTCTGTCTCCTCTCTTTTTTTTTTTTTTTTATTTCCGTCTCCTTTTTTATCTTTCTGTCTCCTGTTTTTTGTTTTTTCTTTTTTTTTTGTTTCTGTCTCCTGTCTTCTGTTTTTTTTGTTTTTTTTATTTATGTCTCCTGTCTTTTTTTTTTTTACTTCTGTCACCTTTTTTATCTTTCTGTCTCCTGTCTTTTGTTTTTTTGTTTTTTTTTATTTTTGTCTCCTGTCTTCTGTCATCTGTCTCTTTTTTTTTTATTTCTGTCTCCTGTCTTGTTTTTTTTGTTTTTTTTATTTCTGTTTCCTGTCTTTTGTTTTTTTTTTTATTTCTGTCTCCTTTTTTATCTTTCTGTCTCCTCTCTTCTGTCTTCTTTGTTTTTGTGTTTTTGTCTCCTGTCTTTTGTGTTTTTTTTTTATTTCTGTTTCCTGTCTCCTGTCATCTGTCTCCTTTTTTTTCTTTCTGTCTCCTGTCTCCTGTCTTCTTTGTTTTTTTGTTTTTGTCTCCTGTCTTTTGTCTTCCTTTTTTTCTTTTATTTCTGTCTCCTCTCTTATCTTTCTGCCTCCTCCTTCTGTCTCCTTTGTTTTTTTATATTGCTGTCTCCTTTTTTTATTTTTCTGTCTCCTTTTTTTTTATTGCTGTCTCCTTTTTCTCTGTCTTTTGTTTTATGTTTCTGTCTCCTTCGTTTTAACTTGCTATCCGTTTCCATCTCTTTCTTGTCTCCTTTTCTCTGTCTCCTGTCTCCTTTCTCTGTCTCCTGTCTCCTTTCCCTGTCTCCTGTCTCCTTCTCTGTCTGTCTCCTGTCTCCTCCTTTATCTGTCCCCCGTCTCCTTCTTTATCCGTCTCCTGTCTCCTTCGCTGTTTGTCTCCTTTCTCCTGTCTCCTCCGTCTCCTGTCTCCTCTGCCTCCTGTCTCCTTCTCTCCATCCGTCTGTCTCTGTCTCCTTCTGTCTCCTTCCCTGTCTCCTGTCTCCCTCTCTGTCTCCTGTCTCCTCCTGTGCCTGTCTCCTGTCTCCTCTGCCTCTCTTTTGTCTCCTTTTCTGTCTCTTTTTCTCCGCCTCCTTTCTTTTTGTACCTGATCCTCTCGTTGCAGTTGCTGTTGCTGCTATTGCTGCTGCTGCTGTTGTTGCTGCTGTTGTTGTTGTTGCTGCTGTCATTCCTATTTGTGCTGTTATGCTGTCGTTGTTGCTGCTGTCTCTGCTGCTGCTGTTGCTGCTGCTGCTGTCTCTGCTGCTGCTGCTGCTGTCTCTGCTGCTGCTGCTGCTGCTGCTGCTGCTGCTTCAGGAGAAGACACAAGACCAGGTTAGCTGCAGCGAGTTGCACCTGAACGAGGAGACGGGTGTATTGGAGGAGACCCCTCTCCCAGCAGCCAACAGCAGCAGCAGCAGCAGCAGCAGCAGCAGCAGCAGCAGCAGGAAGGATCGAGAGGAGCAGCAGAAGAGGGAGAAGGCAGAGCGGGATCGTTTGCGTCGTGCTGCAGCAGCAGCAGTTGCTGCTGGAGAAGTATATGGCCCCGCATGCAGTGGTTTTCGGCTGCAGCAGATAAGCCCCCCCAAAGCCCACAGAAACGGAATAAGTTCTTTTTTTTATTTTCATTCTCCTCATTCGTCTCCTTTTGTCCCTTTTATAAACGCATGCAGAAGAGAAACATTTACTCTACCCAGGCCCGCTGTCACTGCACTCAAAATAGAAAACTTAGATTCTTATGTTGACGCCCCAGCAGCACAGCCCCCTCAACCCAGCCAGCTGCCTCCTGCATACCTCCAGCAGCAGCAGCAGCAGCAGCAGCAGCAGCAGGGGCAGCAGCAGCAGCAGCAGCAGCAGCAGCAGCAGCAGCAGCGGGAGCAGCAAAAGATGAAAGGAATAAGCCCCTCTGCATACCTAAATAGATTACCTGTTGAGGTGGGGATGTGTGTTGTTGGTATGAGAGAAGACGTCGAGGACTTAGTGGAAAATTTGCGTCAAATTATATTCAGAAAAAAAAAAATAAATAAAAATAAAAATAAAAAAAATAAAAATAAAAAAGAGAGGGGGCCCCCAGGGTCAGGGGGCCCCCTGCTTGAGGGTAT